TGATCTATAATTTCATCAAGTGAGATTTTTGGTAATAGTATTATAAAATTGTATGTTGCATTTTTACAACTTTAGTCGAATAAAATGATTTATGTATGTTAAACTGCATTACATGGTGATTTTTAACGATAGTACGGAGCTCATTTTCCTGAAAACTTCTTGGAAACAATTTTTTCTTTTATAAAATTTGAAATACTGTAGATAAGACTTACTATTTTTCATTTTTGTTATTTTTTAGGTTTTAAACTTTTTTTTTGCCATTAAAAAGCGACAGCCGTCATTTATATTTAATTCCATAACCTTGTAAAAGTATGGATCGTAGTTTTCTAAGAAAACACTGACGGGCAAATGCCAATTATTGAATCAATTTAGTTTATTATTTATAAAAGTTTAAAGTCAACAATTTTGTATACAAATTATTCATGTGCCCGTAAATTATCAAAATAGAGTAAAAAATGATTTTAAAATTGTAGGTGTTATTATCATTAATTATATATTACATAATATTATTATTATAACATTAAAATTATTTAACATAAATATATTATATTGCTATTTCAACAATAAGGTATTAACTAAATTTTATTAGCAACTTTAACTAATTGTATAGTTTTTCCTTAGGTATATATATTTATTGTAAAAATAATTTTAAATTTTGCTAATAGAACTACATATTTTCCGTCAAGACATTGATATCACAAAATCACACTCTGCTCTACTATGATAACGTTACTACTCTCCGTTCATGAAAAAAAATGATTACTAATAATGAATAACTTCACATAAATAATTATAAACCATTTTTTAGATTCAATCGGTATTCGTAGAATAGTTTCTTAAAACTATTCATTTTTAGTGTGGTAGTACCTATTATACAATTAAAAATGATTATTGGGGTTCGGCATTTTATATGAGTACTTAACCTAATCGACCTATAAAATACGATATCGTATTTGTTTCAATAAAATTTAATAGCACAGAAACGAGCTAAAATATTTGAAATTGTAGGATGAATTAAACACCAAGCAACGGAATAATGAACAATATAAATCACCGTGGTTGTAAGGTATCGAGGAAATGTTAAAATTACTATGTTTCTCGTGCACCAACTAACAAGCCGTTGTGTTGAGTGAATTACTGTAACATATAAATATGTAATACTATCGTGACTGCGGTTAGGTTATAAACGTGTATAAAACATGTCTTGAAAAATTACAAGTAAAAATTATTAAATATTATCCATAATATATTCTTATGATTCTATCCGCCATTGCAGTTGTGTAGTATGAGTACAACTGAGTATAGAGAGATACAAAATACATAGTATAACTCAACATTTTTGACTTTAAATTTCGGAAAGAATTTAAAACGAGTATTTGAGAATAATTGGTCTTAAATAATCGTACATTAATTAGTATGTATTTGTTTATTGAAATAAAAAATTTGTTTACGGTCTCGTATTTCAATTTATTTAGAAAAAATTCAAGTATACATTTTTAAATAGGTAAATGAAATGTGTTAATATTCTGTAATTTACATTACTATAATCTACTCAATTGTTATCATGAATAATTCTGTTGAAGCATCAACCAATAAAAAAACTGTAAGTTGCTGTTGATGCCGTTAAAATTAAGCACGACTTGTTGACTGGTATATTATTATATAGTTCAATTATATATTTTTAATTATTAAATTAGAAGTCAAAAAAAACTAAAAAAAAAAAAAAAAATTATTAAATTTAATTCTAAAAAAACAAATTTAAATTGCACATAAAATTAAATATTAAAAAAGAAATTTACTACCATTTATTTGGTCAGGTTACTTTCGTTAAAACTCATCTTATTGGTTGCTATTTAAAACTATACAATTTCGGTACAATAACGATAGTTATTTTATCAATCATCTGTTTATTATTGGTTTTTTACCAGTTTTATAACTTTTGGCAATAATAATACAGTATTTTTAGTCTATAACTTATAAATAAGTTAAATTTTCAAGAAAAATAAGTAAAACCTAAGAAAAAAAGAAGTAAATAGAGGAAAAAGCAATAAAAAAGTTTACTTCATTGAAATCAGAACGATTCAAAACGTATTTACTAATATATATAATAATTATCTTTTTATTACACTCCCTTTAAAAGGAACATTAATTGCTGAAAAACCCTAGTCCTACGTATTTATAATATTCTTTAATTAGAGAGGAAAGTATAGTTAAAAGTGCTTCATAAAACTATTAACTTATAATAACATGCATAATGGAGTATCCAAAATACCTTTATTTATTACGATTATTAATGAAATAGGTACTTTAATTTATTAATATTATGTTTAAGATTTAAATAAAGTGATGTCTAAATTTTTTTAAATAGACTTTTTATTAATTTCAAAGAGGCTTGTTGTGTAAAATTTACAATAAACAAGTATATTAATATTGGAGAGCATTTAATATATTATAATTTAACTATAAAAAGGTTGAGTATGTCTAAAAAATCATCAAGTATATGTTAAATATGTATTATTACTGAAAATGAAATTTCTTTCTATAGACCAAAGTAGTAAATTATAATTACTTTAATCGTTCTTTGGGAAATACTGCTTATAAATTATATATATTTATATAAAAGGTATTGCCCTATACTTGCGTTAGTATACGTCAATTTTATCAGTGAAATACTGAAATCAGTGCATTATTGTCATTAATCGTTTACTCCAGAAGCTGCAGAGTTATCCTGCGTGTGCTTTTAATACTATGAAATAGTTTGTTAATATTACATTAAACGAAAAACCACTCAAGAGTGAGTGTTACACCAGACGCTATAAATTATTTTATGTACAGCTTGACTGCACCGGCGTACACTATAGGTAGGTTACTATTTGTGTAGCTCATAGTTAATATATTTGATTACTCTAGATACATTTTCGATAAAATTTTCGAACCCCGGAGCTATATTATATTTTTGTAATTTTTATTAAAATGTCAATTTTCGACAGTCAAATTTATTTTGATACTATATAAGTAGTTGTATGATTGAACGAAAATAACAAACTTGAGCAGCAAAACAAACAGATGTAGCTTAATTAACTTTAATCACTAATTTTCCAATGAAAAAATAATCGACGACTATACGGGCACACATTTAATTGAATTTCTCGAGGGAGAGGGGGCTTGCGATATCCAAAATTGAATAGCTCGCACCCCGATTACTATGGTTATAGTTCAAGGACTTCAATATCAGTTTTTATAGGTACCAACTGCACGAACATATTATTGTCAAAAGATGTTTTTGTATCCATAAATCGGTTCAGATTAGAATCTTATAATCTTATCGAAATTAATTTACAAAATGTATTAGGTACTTTAAATTTTGTTTAAGTTAATTTAACAAAATTGTCAAATAATTATTTTTATAACGATTTACAAAAAAAGGTGATTTTTTTTTTGAAAAAAATAAGTTGTTATCGCTATACACTACATTTCTTATGTAGTATAAAATATATTCAAGTGTTTGAAAATATGGTTCTTAAGTCGTATACTAAAAAGCTTCAAAAAATTAGAGATTGAATAACTCCACTGTTAAAGAGGAAATAGTGAATGAGCGTTTTGGCCAATCATCTTGTATACTGCAGTGTAGTTGGTGCGTATGATGGTGTACGGGGTAATGTGGCATCGTAATATCGTACAAAAATTTAAATTTGGTTAACCATCGTTGTCGGTATTTACGTTTTGCCGAATCTGCAGTTAACAAATTCTAACAGTATGGTAAATTTATTCATATTCGAGTGGTCAGTTTTGTTATAAATATAATAAACTATTATGATTTTATTTATTGATATATTTATATCTACTGAACTGCTAATTTAAAAATTATATTTTAACTTGGCTGTATAAAATGATTGTATTCGCACTGATAAAAACTATTTTGTGGCACTATTATAGTTGCGCTGTCACCCTAAAGTGGCCGTTAAAGAGACTATCAGTATGTTGTGGCGATGCGATAAGAAGGCACCGGCACGCCTACCACGATAATGATATTTATTCAAAATATCACTATTATTACTGCAATTTATTGTTCCTTCACACCACTCGTGGTTCCGGTTTCTATTTTTCATGCCGCATAACGGTACATTTATTTCGATTTCGTATCAACAGTCGTACGGCCGTACATAATGTTCGATATCGATTTCATAATTTGATCATGAAAACTCACTGAGTCTGTTCAGTGGTGCTTAGTGCGATCCAAAATATATTTATATCGATAATACATTTTAAATTTAATTTAGAATATACAAAAAGTACTGTCGTGTTATAAGTAATTGTAATTGGAATATTTTTCCGTAATAAAGAATATAATTATTATAGGACTGAGACTCTTTTCGGTTTTAAATATTAGCAAAATATTCGAGGTGTTTTTTTAAAAATTCTCAATAAATTGATTGCAAGTTGAAAACAAATATTTGGAGATACGTTTTAAAGAATACCTGTTCATGTTTCAATACATTTAAATAGTAGTTAATATTTACTCAAACACTTGTCGATGGACTGTATACAACAGTACACAAATTATTTGAAATACTTTTCAACGTTGATAATAAGTGTAGTTTACCCCACCATCTCACCTATCCGCCAACTGAGGTCGGTGAGCGTTAAAAACTGTTTCCGTTCAGGCTCGACGACTCCTGGGTGCTTCTGTGGGTGCCCTAGTCGGTACCACGTAATTTACAAAAAGGGTTGACGGTTATGTTCATAGCATAGTCAGACGATGAGAGTCCATAAATAGAGCCGATGCCATGTATAACATATTCGTATATTTATACTGTATACAAGACTGTGATTATTATTATGCTGTGTGCGACGACGGCGACTGCCGACTAGTGCGCGTATTTCCGGAGGGCGTTATATTTCTTTTTAAAAATCATGTTTTTTTTTTTAATTATTATTATTATTTTCAGACATGATTTTTTTTTTTTGTCTGTAACAGTGCATAAAATGAAAATCCTTACCATTGGTTCCATTCAAGGGGGTCTTGTGGAGCTTAGCCTTCTCAGATATCTTTCAAATTCCCTGAAAAAAAAAAAAATAACAAATTATTCTATTATTATTTTTCTTTTATAAATATGGTTTAATACATTTTTATAAAAATATAAAACATTTTCTTAGAAATATTAATAACTGATAAGTATTTTAATTAAAAATAATTTTTTGTTTTCATTTAATTTAATTCCAATAGTTATATTTAGTATATTTATTTTGAAAATAATTTATAAAAACCAGAAAATACTTGAGACTACTATATGCAGTCAGTTTGAATTCAATAAGTTATTGCAGGTGTACGAAAAAACAATTTTGTGCGAAGGCAACGCACAATAAATTCATTTTAAAAAGTAAACGCTTATTAAATTTTCCGCATGCCTTTTCGGTATTTTTACATGTCTGTAACAATAACTTCGGAGGGATATTGTGTACATTTTCCAATCTTAGGTATATAAAATTAAATTTAAATGAAGTTTTAAATACTAAATAATTAATATAATTTAGAATTTGAGTAAGTATTAAACAACAATACAAAAACTACATTATCTTATAATAGTATCTCTAAAAGCATTCAATAAATTATTTATTAAATTTAAAAAGTTTGCTTCCTTCTCAAAATAATAGTAACTGATTTTCATTTATGCTCCTTATCTTCTTATATAATTATTAATACTCAAACTACGTGATGATTGGTAAGTGGGTACTTGGAAATCTGATTATATATATATATATATAAATTATATTGCTAACTTTTTCGTCGTTCTTGAATATATCGCTCATGGACTATAAGATTATTGTTATGGAAGATACATTTTATGATTTTTAAGTCAAATATTGCAAGTAGAAAAATGTAAAATGGTATGTTTAAATGTTTAATATAGTGTTCTTAAAAGTTTTAATATGAATAATTTGAAAATGTCATATATTTCTCGAGAAATTTTTTGCAGTCGTTTCACGATAGAATATAATTCACAATATAATTAACTAAAATAATTTTTGGTCTATAATTATATTTTCATAACGTGTTATATAGTAGACAAAATAAAATATATAATTTCAAATAAATGATTTTTAAATACTTAAAAATCTGCAGTTTTATGTATAGGTTTATCGGTGATGCGTCGCAAACAGACAAATTAAATGTCTATAATATAATGTTTATGTATAATATATGATGTAACAAAACAATGAAAAGATTTAGTTATTTGCAGTTTTACCTCAAGTAACATAACAATATTATAAAATCTATATAGTACACTATACGTACACTGTGTATACAAGGTCGTACCTGGGCGAGGGGTGGTTAGCCCACCACAACATTTTCTCACATTATGTGAACTTAGAAATTTAACATTCGTCTTTTTATTATTAATTTAATATTCCCACATTTTAAAGTATCTAATCTAATCGTATAGGTTATAATAAGTTGATTTTCTTCTCTAAAAAAATATTCAGAACTATTTGAGTAATGTTACTGCTGAAGATAGATTAGGTAACCGGTTGAGCATTATTTAATATACATGGAAATATTTATGTCTATCCTTAGGAAATAATCAATCGTTTTTTTAAGAAAAAAATAGAAATTTAGAACTTGTGCCATAAAATATTATGTACTATACGTATTTAAATAATTATTAACAAACCTTGTTGACTTATGTATGAGTGCTTAAAGTATATGATATATAATATGTTTATTGCTTTAAAGCGTTTAAATATCAATAGATTATTTGTTATTTTATAGTTTATTCCACTTACTAAGATTTGTATGACCCCCCCCCAAAAAAAAAAAAAAAATTCTGCATACGGACTTGTACGTATATAACAGTAAAATAATTATACCACGAAAAGTATACTGCTCTACAGTATAGTTAATGGAAAAATATGCATTTACCGGAATAATTATATAGGCATAATATATAGTGCTTAATGTTTATAGTATACATAGGTATAAACCATGTGTTTCATGAGTTTTATTCAAATGAATGTAGTTACAATGTACGTCTCCTTGATTTTAATTAAAACTCCATTTTATCATTCTTATATTTTCAGCTCTACAACATCCGGCTAAATTCAATAAGAAAGAGCGGACCTGGCCTAAAAATAATAATTCTGTGGATACGCCGTACATAGAATTCATAAAGTCTTAAAAAATAATAAGGTCATAATACTAAAATCGTAAAACTAAATCGTTTATTATTATTAATATAGGATTTGGTTGCCAAATGCTGACGATTTAGTGAGGATAAGAAAGATTTAGTGTATCTATCTACATGGTATATAATAAACATAATATATGTAGGTACACAGACAGTACAAAAACTACTAAGATGTCGTTAAAATTTGATAAAAGAACAATTATAATTATAATTTATACAAAATATTTCATTTCCCTACAAATAATGAATTATTGTATCTATTTTATTTTAGCGACGTATTTTGTATGTGTAATGTATTATTATTATTATTATACGGTAATTCTATCGAAGTTTCAAATAAATTCAGTGGCAAGGAAGGAAGCACCTGTTAGTCAGTTATAGTTAAAATAAGTCTGTATACTCTACTTAAGAAAACTCTGAATACTTTACTGAAAAAATCTACTAAAAAAGTCTAACTTCCTGACTTGTGTGGTTGTATTTATAGGATATTCATAATATTATAATCGATCTATTTTATAATATATACATGCGGCATAGGTCTAAATATAACGCTCCAGTACATATTTGTAGACCTAACTCATCGGTAGGAAGGTGTTTTGTTATGGGGGAGATTTTAATTCAAACTCACGGAAATCTTTTGACTTATTTTGTACATACATATGCCTGGAATGCTATAGCGTTATTATATTATTATTATTATTGCAGTTAATTTTTTTCACATTTTAGCGTGGCGTACAGCACCACAACCTTTTACAGCTTTTTAACATTTTAAAACACACAGTAAGCTATTGTGTGCTTCTGCTTGTTAATTCGACTTGAAGTCGTCGTCGTCGCCAAAGTGCGTTTAGCGATGCGTTAACACTCGTGTGTATATATGTACATGTTTAAGTGTGTATGTGTAGGTCATGCGCGCTGTGAACAAAAGAGGAAAAAACTGATGTAAGTATGTATAGCGATAATACGTTTACAGTATGGGAAAGAAAAAAAGAGCCGAGAGACGCACGTTTTCATCGAAGCGGTGGCACTCGCTGGATTAATTTTTTTTTACTCTATCCTGAAAGCGCGCAAACATAACGTACCCATTGATTATACAGGCCAATCACCGAGCATTTTAACCTCTCCAATGTATCTTTTAATTTATCAATTATTCATATTCTGATCGTATAATTGCTTAGCGTAGATATCTCGCTGAGGTTTGATAAACCATTGTTTTGTTGTAACACCATCTTGTTATTTTTTCTAAAATAACCACACTTTTTAGATATTATTTATTTTTCATTGAATTTTAATAAATTCATTAAAAAAGGACGATTTGGAGATAACCATACCTAAGTCATTGTGTATTTAATATTTTTTTAGTTTATTGATATATATATATATATACATATATATTACGATCATCGTAAAATGCTTCAAATAAGTAACATACGAGATATGGAGATCAATTATTGTTAACATTTATTAGTCTTGGTAGACTGCGGGTTGTTTGTTATAATATAATTAGGTGATTACTTATTATACATTATATATTTAAAAAAAAAAAAAAAGTTATTATTTAATACGATCATGTTACAGTAAGTTCTCGTTTAACGTCACCTCATTTAGCGTTATTTCGCTATTGCGTCGTAGAATTTAAGTCATTGTGTTTCGTTTAACACTGCAACGGTTTCAGTATAACGCCATTTGTAATACACATTGTGTTCATACAATTTTTGTTATATGTATTTATATAATATTTTGTATAATTATTGCAATAAGTAATTTAATTTTGTCGACCTTTTTCTGATAATATACTGTTATTATTTTAATTGACATACCTACCCTACGTAGACTCTAATTTTATGTATTTTAGGAAATATGTATTCCGTAATCATTTTTAATTTCTTAAAGAATAAATTGTAAATACATACGTAAATTTTACAAACAATTAAATTGTGAAATTAACATAAATATGCACATTGTTATTTATTAGCAGGAAAACATTAGAATAAAGTGTATGTAAAAAGTGCTTCGATTAACGTCGTGATTTCTAAAAACCCTGGATGTTAAATGAGCATTTACTATACTTCATAATTCGAAAATGTTGCTTTCAATAAGATCGTATACTATTATACTGTAAACAGTAAAAATTACAGTATTTAATAATATATTTGTTTTTTATGTTAGTCTGTCAAATTTTTTTTTTTTTATTTCAAAAATCTTATCACATCAAGTTTACCGGGCATATGATTAAACTTGCACTTCATCAAAGATAAATACTTATATTACAATATTATATACAATTATATTGGTTTGATTCATTCCGAGTCTCACTCAGTAGATACATAGTATTATATTATACATATATGTCAGTATATATTTAGATACGACTGAGCGTCGTCGGCCTCATGAATATGAACTACAGGTACTCACCATAATATACTAAATATCGCATTGTTAGTTAATCAACCGGGAATAAAAATAATAACAACCTCGACACCTCTCCTGCCGTTCTAAGTCTGGGTATGGTCGTGTTTACGACGAGGCGATGCTCGGTGAACGGAGGAGAAGATGCGAGCCGACGATAAGCGAAAATTAAACCCGACGAAATATAAGTCATCCACTCGCCACCCTCAGACACCGCCCAAGACATGTACGTGTCCCGGCAGCTCGTCACCCGCACCGCGAAGAAAATGATTTTTCGCCCGTCTGTCATCACCCGTGGCTTTTATAACACACCCGGTCGCCCACTTATTTATATATATATATATATATATATATACATTTAGGTTAAACCGTATATAACCTGTGTCATACGTGCTGTGTATCTCTCTCTCTCTCTCTATATATATATATATATATGATTGCTGCAGGCGAGCAAGTATACAAGCACGT